CAAAATGGGCGTTTGGCACGCGCATGCAAAGCACACCCACCAAACCGTTTTTTGAATCCCCACCACTGACTGAGCTCACCTCGGATTGGGTTGAAGGCCGCTTGGTGCGCCTTCTTCCTTCACAACGCCCCTGCGGGGAAGGCTGCCTGGGGAGCTTCGGGGGAATCGGGGGGTGGGTGGGTCACCGCTTCGCTTGTGGCCACGTTGTGGTGCTTTGTAAGCTGAAGGGAAAGGAGCCAGAGGGGTGTGTTTTCACACTGCACATCCTCCGCAAGCAAACCAGGGCTTTCTGTGCTCTGTTAAACAGGCCGCAGACGACCTGTGGGCTGCAAACAGGAAGGAAGATCTTACGGCTGCTTAGTATGGTGCGCGTGCTTTCACCAGCACCCAGAAAGCAATGCACACCCCCCCCACGCATGCACGCGCAATCCCCCAATGGTCGTTAACTGTGAAAAACAGTCATAAGTCACTTTATTCGGTGCAGTTGAAACTTTGAATGATTACTAAACGAACAGTTGTTAAGTGTTACTCTCCCAAGAAGCGAAGTCTCGTTGAAGAGGGGATAAATAAACTGGGATCCAATAGAGACTTGGGGTGAAGATTCAGGAAAAACTTGTTTCCCAATAAAGAGGGATTTGAGATAAGCCAAGTTGGCTTTTCCGTCTAACAAATGGCTATTTCTCGGGGGGGGGGGGGGGGGTCAGACTAAATGGCTTCTGATGGACCCTCCCAATGCCATGTTTCCAATCCCCGATTTTGCCCCAATTGTGCCGATTCTGGAACTCTTGGCGTTTTCAACCCTTCTCGTTCCAGGTGAGGCGGATGGTCGGGGCGCTGGTAGCCGTGGGCCAGTCCCGGCTACAGCCGCACCACATCCAAGAACTCCTAGCAGCCCGGGACTTGATGGCTTATCCCCCAAACACCATAGCGCCCCCCTACGGACTCTTCCTCAAGCACGTGGAGTACTACAAAAGCGGTGAGCATCTAGGATGTTTCGTTTCTAGTCCTCATGATCACCCTGGCACCAGCTCCAACAGCTGAAGTTGACAATATTTTTTTTTCTGTTTGAAGTTTTTTTGCACCCCAGTCCTCCCAACAGCAGCCCTGCCAGGGAGGGTGATCTCCCCTATATTGCAATTGGGGGGGAAGGGGGGGCAGAATTGGGGACGACATCCAGGGTTTGTCTGAAGTTTGTCTCCGAGACGAGCCTGAAAGCATTTCCCTGCTCCGTCTTCCAGCTGCTGATATTCCGTAATTCTCAAGTTTCTTTTCTTTCTCCCTTCACTGTCTTGCAGACTTGGAGACAGAAGATTGACGTGAAGTATTGATTTTCTGCCTAGGGTTTATATACGTTGCCGGAGGAAATAAATAAATAAAATTTCTCATTTTCTTACGCGCTGCAGGCATTTGTTAATAAACCTGCCTAATCCGAAATTTGAGTAGATCTGTGCCGAGAGACGATCCCTTTTCGGGACAGCTGAGAAAGGAACGGACTCCAAATGATTTCAGATTTAATTGCTTCCTTCCCAGATGAGGGGGGGGGGGGCTGTTGAAAACGCCCTCTTTTTAAAAGGCTGCTCCTGCTGTGTTGCAGCCCATACAGTCAAAAAAAAAGTATTTATGTACTCAGTAAAGCAAAAAATAAATCCCTTTTAAATCCTCCCTCACCTTTTCGGTTACCCATCTGGGATCGGCCATGTGATCTTGAAGTCTGGATTGCAGATCCTTGAGTAATTGTCTTACTAACAGGTGAGATACATGCAGTTGGTTAATGAGCATTTGTAGCACTAATTTCCCACCATCCTGGAGAATGACATGATATTCCAGTTCTTACGGCTACTTCTGCGTTCTCCATGCCTGTTTTGCGAGCGTATGCCACCTTAAGGGCCTCGCCTTTCAAGTCTTCTGCCGATAATTCATCCCCAGGTAAAGTACCATCTTGAGATCCTCAGCTGAATTTAAGTCTCTAGTCCTTAGTAATAAATCAAGAAACTGCTGCTCGGTACAGAATTGGGTTTCTCTCCACCACCAAATAGCCACCAGCAAAGTACAAACCGTTGCCAGCTTTCACTTGTGCCACACAACCACGCTGGGTTGGAGTTTGCCAAACACTTTTTGAAGACTCTCTTTCAAAACAACGTATCGTAGCAGAATATAGACTTAATCACGCTTTTACACGTCAAAACCCTTGACAACTGTGGAAAGAGTGAATCTTTAATCCCGTTATTATTCCTGCTGTCTTTTCACTCCCCACCTCCCCTTATCAGGATGGAGATCTCATAAAGTCTATAAACACTTCGCTTTTTCTGCTCTCAAATCTTGGGGGGGTGAAATGTCACCCCCGTAACACTGATCTGTGTATTTTCTTGCCGCCTCGGTTGCACTTTTGCAAACCACAGCAACGAAGTGACTCTCCCCTGCTTCCTGCACAAAAGGTTGACGCGTGAGGGGGAGGGCGGGGGAAGGCAAAACTCCTAAAAGTCAAAAGGAGACCAAAGTAAGCGCAGATATCTTCATAAAATATCAGGAGGGCTAAAGACAGGTGCAAACCGGTAAGTTTTAATGTGTGTGTGTGTGTTTTGTTTTTAATGGCGATGAAAATGCACAAAGGCTCCCTTTAAAATAAACCTCTTGCCACAATTTGAGAGTTTCTATCATCCTTTCTTTACTTCTCCCCCCGCCCGACCCCCATTAAAGATTTTCACAGTCCTGAAAACTTTGCCCCAAAACTTGCTAGGAACCTCTTCCTTCTTTCTCTGCAAACGGATGCAATTCCTGCTTTCTTAAGGCTACCGTGGTTGGGGATGTCCGATGTCTAAAGAGGGTTAGAGACTTTGGTGGGGGGGGGGGCAGTTAGCTTTTCCAGTACTTTGGCTAAGCTGTGGTTTGCCCACTCCCACCAAAAAATGAGCCAAAGTCAGGCTAGCTCAATCCCAACTGCAGGAACGCAGCCAGCCAGTGGTTGTTGTTGTTTTTTTAAAATATTTTTCTTTTCAAAATTTTGCAAAGCGCTTTCCTCAAATCCGGCTCCCCTCCTTTTCCCCCAAGCTGACTGGAGGTTGGGCTGCAGAGCTGAGCTCGTCCGGCTGCCTTTGCTCCGGGCATGATGATGGACTGAGAGGCTTCCTGTGGCAGACGAGGCCGGGGGTACGAATCCTGCTCCGGGAGAAGATGGAAAACCAGACGGCGGCCAACGCCAGCCAGGGGTGCAGCTTTCGGGCCGACTTCCAATATTTCCTCTTCCCTGCCGTCTACATCCCTGTCTTCGTGCTGGGACTGCTGGAGAACGGGGCCGCCCTCTACCTGTTGACCTGCTGGGTCACGCGCCCGCCTCGCTCCTACGTCTACCTGCTCAACCTGGCCACCGTGGACACCTTGTTCGTCTGCATCCTGCCCTTCAAGATCCACTACCACCTCCACCGCAACAACTGGGCCTTCGGGGACGTGGCCTGCCGCGTGACGGGCAGCATGTACTTCCTCAACATCTACCTCAGCGTGGCCTTCTTCACCGCCATCTGCATCGACCGCTACGTGGCCGTCTTGCACCCCTTGGCGTACGTGCGGGTCAAGAGCGGCCACTACACCCTGATCGCGGTCATCATCTGGGCGGTCGGGCTGGGCGCCGCCAGCTCTCTGGTCCTGGGGGGCCCCCTCGACGCCAACGTCAGCCATGCCCAGGTCTGCTTTGAGAGCTTTGCGGAAGCCTCCTGGAAGAAGCGCATGCTACCTTACAACGTCTGCGTGCTCCTCTTCGGGTTTCTCATCCCCTTCGCGGTGATCCTGATCAGCTACCCTCTGATCGCCCGGCGAATTTCCCACATCTCGGAGAGCGCTTTGAAAAGGAAGGCCCTGAACACTATCTATCTCATCCTCTTCATCTGCATTTTCTGCTTCCTCCCCTTCCACCTCACCCACCTCCTCCACCTCCTGATGCGCCTCGGCCTCATCCAGAACTGCCCCTTGGCCTCCTCCATCTACCAGCTCCGCCGGGTCACCTTAGCCCTGGTTAGCGTCAACTGCTGCCTGAACCCTCTCTTGTACTACTACACCTTGGTCAACAAGCGGTGGCCCTGCCAGCTGCGTTGGCAGAAACGAACATCCAAGGTCTACACCGTTAGAGGGGGCCGCAGACGACGCCCCAACCAGAGAGCGGCGTTGAGCCCGGCTGCCAACGAGGCGATACGGATGGAGGCGCCAAGCAAGTTCGCTGGGGGTGTCGTTTGGGAAAAGGTTTAATTTCCAAGTGTTCCAAGTTTGGGCTTTGGAGAGGGGCTACTTCCTGCCTGGCTTTCCAGATCAGTGGGACGTTTAAAATAAAGAGTACTGGCTTTGGTTGAGAGGGGCGGGTGTGCTTAAAAGGGTCACGTTGAAAAAGCAATTAATGGTCACGTTAAATGAAGCTTTGGGGCGGGTGGAGTGTAGGTTTTGTCTGGATCAGAGAAACAAGGACACAGATCAGGTTTCTCCTGCAGCCTTCCCTCAGCTAAACAGCAACCGAGGTTTGTTTTGTTTCAAGACAGCCAAAGTGCCTTTAATCCCTGTAAATACAGAGTTGATATTGAGGCTCTGGAAGGTCTCAAGGTGTAATGGAAGAGATCTGAACCTTGTTCCTTGATTGTGAGGCCTGGTGAGACTATCTCTAACCCTGGATCAAGGGCGTTTTCTCACAAGACATGCCTGGGGCTTGGAGGCTGGCCACCTGTGACCAGGAGGACCAATAATACCAAAAGTAAAAGTCTTTATTAAAACAGAAGAGATGAAACACGAGTATTTACACTGCTCCTTCTAGGGGGTGAGGCTCCTATTTGGGGCAGGGATTGTCCTGCGCGCAGAAGTGTCCTGTGCCCAAAATGTTGTGTTTGGGGGGCACGCAGCTCTTTGCACAGAACACGAGGCCGTATTGTTTGGGCAGGAAGCAGGTGGGCCAAAAGGAAAATGAAAGGGGATCGAGGAGGCAGATAGACAGAAGGGAAGATGAAATGAGAGGATTGGGAAGGGGGCTAAGAGGAGAAAAAGTGCTGGGAAGATGGGTAAGAAGTTCCCCAAACCCCCAACGACGTCTAAAACCATACAATGAAAGTTTGTTTGTTTTCTTCCCCTTTTCTGTCAACCCACACAACTTGCCTCGTGTGCAAACCTGCCCTTCTCGGTGGCTTAAAGGTCTGTGGCAGCAGCTGGAGGCCCCCAGAGGCTCATCCTGTAATTTGAGGCAGGGCTTTCTTCAGCACAGACGTGACGTAGCTCCCCATTTCTTCATCCTGCACACAGAACCCAGATCCGGGGTTTCAATATGGGTAGTCCTTGACTGACGACCACAATTGAGGGCAACGTTTCTGTTGCTAAGCTGGTGAGTTGAGTTTGGCCACGTTTTACAACCTTTCTTGCACTACAGTTGTTAAGTGAGTGAGTAATAGGACTGTGGGGTGAATCTGGCTTCCCATTAACCTGGATGGTCAGAAGGTTGCAAACAATTGTCGCAAAGGATCCAGTTTGCCAAATGCATGAAATTTTAATCACATGACCCCAGTGCTGCAATGGTCGTAAGCATGGAAACAGCCGTTAAGTCACTTTTATTCAGTGCTGCCCTAACTTCGAACAGTCACTAAACAAACAGTGACCAGTTAAGGATTACCTGTTGTTGGCCCTTGCTTTGTGAACTTCAACTCCCAGAATCCCTCAGTGACCTTCACTGAGGACTCTGGGAAACGAAGTCCTGAACTTTTGGAGGGGAAAAATCCTCCAGGTTTTTGGGGAAGGCCGTCCCAGATTCGCGTAAGCAGACTATTGGGGTGCTACAAGGTATAGATCACCGGCAGCCGGAAACTCAGTGCCAGCTCAGCGTAATTTAGTATTGGCTGGCTGTCAGGGCTCCAACAAATTCACCCTCATTCAAATCAAAAGTCTCTAGCCTTTTCTCTCCGAGAAAAGAAAATTGATTTATTAGAAGTGGCCATGTTGGCGTTGAGCTGGGTGCAGCCGATACTAAATCACATGATACATTTCCCCCTTGACCCTGGTCTTTCCCCCCACCCCCTAGATGTATATTCTCCGATGGGACACATCCCTCTCCAAGAGTCATCCATCATAACCTTCTTATGCTCCGACAGCTTTGGGCTGCCGGGGTGATTATCCAGGCATTTAAGGAATGCCTTGTTTCCCTCCCACTCCCTTTTTTCTGGCAGCTAAAAAGACCAAAGGAGTGTATCTTTTTAGTTGACGCTCAGAAGTTCTTGTTAACCAATGAAGGCAGACTTAACATTTCAGCCGCCTCTTTGTACGTCTCCTCTCATCAAATCAGATTTAAAACCTTACCTGGTACGTCCAGGACACCAGCAGAAGTTTGGTGGCGGGGTCCTCAGACTGCACCGTGACCTGGATCAAGATGGACTCCACCATGATGGAGGTGTCTGAGAGATGCTGGACGGAATAATCCTTCAAGGCGCTGGGGGAGAAAATGGCCACGAGCTGAATCCCTCCCGGACTTTTCACAGGGCCTTAAAGACTTGACTCCACTCCTCACAAACTTCTATTGCAATCAATTCTTGCTTCTCTTCCCAAGATCATCACTGTCCTTTAATGACCCCATAATCCCCTGTGGGGTGGAGCCTGGGCTACTGAACAGAGCTAATGGAGTATTTACTGGCCGACTGCCCTTCCCGTCCCCAATGCGGAGTTCTGTTTAGCAGATATATTCTCACTGTGCCCAAAGAGAGAAATCTCTGCCTAGGATGAGACTCACAGCCTCCTGTTTGGGAGGCAAGAGCTCCATTTTCTAGGTCACCGCACCTCAACAAGGCCAAGGTACCTGCTTCAATTAAATCCCATTTGTCTCGTATATTCCAAGTGTCATTCAACGTAACAAGATATCGAAGCGGATTTCAACGAAGGCGAGTTTTCTCTTTCCAACCCAACCAAATTTCAAGTCCTCAAGGTGGGACGGATTGCGGCTCCTACCAATCCTCTCCCTCCCTGGTTCAGACCCTACCCCGAGTGCGCTCACCTTTTCAGGTGGTTGTAAACACGCAGGCCGGTCTCGTGTTCCTTGCGGGGGTCCTGAAAGTGGATCCGGCAGGTGAAGCGCAGCTGGTGCTCCCCCAGGCCCAACTCCTTCAGGGCTTGCTCGGGAGAAACCAAGCGGAAACTCTGTCCGTGAGCGAAAAGGAGCAAAGAAGAACCCTTTACAATTCACGCGCTGCAGCATCGAGGGCCAAAGGCTGCGGGACAGGAAATCTCGCTCTCCACCGGAGAGGAAAGAAATCAGATAACCAGATAATCAGTTGGAAGGGACCTGATAGGTCATCTAGTCCAACCCCCCGCCCAAGCGGGAGACCCTACACCATTTCTGACAGATGGGAGTCCAATCTCTTCTTGAAAGTCTTGAGTGATGGCGCTCCCACAACTTCCAAGGGCAGCTTCTGTTCTATGATTTGATTGTTTTAACTGTCAGAAAGTTTCTCCTTATTTCCAGGTTGAATCTCTCCTTGGTCAGTTTCCACCCATTCTTCCTTGTTTGGCTTTCGGGGGCCTTGGAGAATAGCTTGACCCCCTCCTCCTCTCTGGGGCAGCCCCTCCAATATTGGAAGGCTGCTCTCCTGCCTCTCCTGGTCCTTCTCTTCCCTAGACTAGCCAGGCCCAGTTCCTGCAACCGTTCTTCATATGTTTTAGTCTCCAGTCCCCTCATCATCCTGGTTGCTCTTCTCTATACTTTTTCTAGTCTCAACATCTTTTTTATAATGTGGTGAACAAAACTGGATGCAATACTCTAGGTGTGGTCTTACTAAGGCTTTACAGAGTGGTATTGATCTTGACTGTATCCCTCTGTTAATGCAACTTAGGATTGCATTGTTTTTTTTTGGCTGCTGATGCACACGGCTGGCTCATACTTAGCTGGTTGTCCACTAAGACTCCAAGATCCCCCTCATAGTTCCTGCTATTGAGCCTGGTTTCACCCAGTCTATTATATGTGTCCTTTTGTTTTTTCTTGCCTAAGTGTAGGACTTTCCTTCTCTCTACACTGAATTTTTTTTAAAATAACGCTTTATTGAATTTTTTTCCATTTATACATAATATCAATAGTTATTAAACAGTGCTGTGGCATTATATATACATTTATGTGTCCTATCAAAACTTACAATGCGTAATATTTTCATACCCTCTTATTTATTATATACATTATTTACATTTTCTATTTTTATATCTATTATCTATCCAAATAAACCATGTTTCTCATACTGCCTTGTATTCTGTGTCTGTTTTCCCTTTTAATTCCACAGTTCATTTACCCATTTCCACACACTCTAAAAAAATTTTTGATTATTAAGCTTCAGGGGGTATAGAGTTTTCCTTCCAGTACTGAGCATATGAAATTCTTGCTGCTGTTAATATATGTAATAGAAGATATTTTATCTTTCTATTATTACATTGAATTTCATTTTGTTAGATATGGCCCAGTGTTCTAGTCTGTCAAGCTCCATCTGGATCTTGAGCCTGTCTTTTCTTGGGTGCCAGCTATTCCCGAGTCGGCAACCACCGTTTCTGTGTCATGGAAATCTGCTCTACCCACATATTTCCTTCTCTGTTGAATTCCTTTCACCCAGACACTTGCAGCCCCTGTCTGGGGACGCCAGCTCATCCCTCTGGGGGCACAAGACCGCATGAGATTTCCCCCTGGCCACTTGGCCAGGGCAAAACTTCACAAGGTGGCTGACATTTTGTCCCCTCTGTACCAGGTGAGGCTGGAGGTAGGAAAACTTACCAAGCATTGGGGTGGGTGGAGGAGCTACACTGCATGAAGATTCGTACTAAGGTCGCTGGGAAAGAGACCCAGTCGGACACTGCTGGTTCCTCCCCATTTTGGCAGTATGTATTTACCCAACAGGAAGAGTTTGGGCCTCTGAAGACATTAAGGAATGTCTTTTTAAAGCCTTCCTTTCTCGGGCTTAACATCCTCAGAGGCATATACATCCCTTCCCCCTGGGAAAAAGGTGAAATTTTTCCTTCACTCACATTATCCTTGATTATCAGGGTGCCATGCAACAGCTTCGGCTTCTTGGAGGCCGGTGAGGGTCCTAGAGAGAAAAAGGAAAGTCGAGTTTTTGGGGGGCTCTGGGTTTCCAGCTCCTGGTCCCCCAATTCCTTCCCTCCAGGCCGTGTCCTTTGGCCCCTTGGAGGCTGTCATGGAGGGTGGCTGTCAGGGCAGGGCCACCTCCAATCCTCCTTCCCTGCACCACAGTCTCCAGGGTCTCTTTTCCAACATATTCCAAAGTCCGGGGTTACTTCCCCCCATGGCCCCACGGGGTTTTGGTGGGGCTAGTCAGAGATGGCATTAGCCGGCTCTCCGAATGACTCAAAATTTCCGCTACCGGTTCTCCAGAACTAGTCAGAACCGGCTGAAGACCACCACTGCTTCCAAGGCAGTTGAATTACCACTCCCATCGGCCCAACCTATTTTGGAAGCACCAAGTTGGGGGGGGGAGGCTGTGCCCAGAGCAAAAAAGGCTGCAAGAGGAGCAGAAAAGCAGCCAAGGACCTGTTTCCTCTCCCTGATATTAATGAGGGTTTTGTCCCATGAAACCTACCAATCGCCAGCTCTCTCTTCAGCAGCCCGAGAGAAATATCCACCGGGATGTTAGGATTGGTGAAAATAGACACCGTTTCCCCATTGGCAGGCATGTAACACTGAACCCCTGCAAGCAAAGGAAAAGCCAGGTCTTTGTTAGCTCTGTTGGTCTGATCCCAGGGAGGAACAGAAGAACTGCAGCCTGAAAATGCTGGTGAGTGCCTTAGCCATAATCTAGGCCAGGGGGTCACCAACCTTTTGGGCGTCAGGGACTACCAAACTCATCGTTTTAAATCCCATGGACCAAAGACCCTGGGAAAAATCCCCCCCAAAAATCTGCAAGAAAATTCCCCCACCCCATTTTCCTACCGATCAATCATTCTTTATTTGGGATTACAGGATACCATCCCAAGCTCTGTTCTCAGGGGGAGAGAGAGACTTTTGGCTTCATGCAAGGAAAGCAGCAGAAGCCGCATAAGTTTTTCTTTCTCTCCCCCAAACTCCGCCAGAAATGAGTCTTTGCCGACTCAGCCTCTTGGAGCAGGAGGCTTTGCAGGGTCCCAAAGACTCATTTCTGGCGGGGTTTGGGGGAGAGAAAGAAAAACTTTTGCTGCTTTCCTTGCCTGCAGCCAAAAGCAGAAGAAGAAAGAAGCAGAAAGAAGCAGCCCAGTGGCCAGGCGAGGTGCATGGGGCAAGTTCTCCCCTTCCCCCCCTCCCCTCACTATCTCATGTTATTCGCAATGCAAGCGATGCAAGCCTTGTGTTACCGCGGGCCATGTGGGCGGTGCAGCCTTGTGTTCCCGCGCAGCCTGGATTAATTGATTTGGGGGTGGACATTTCTTTGTGGCCCACCAAAATTTTCTCACGGACCACCGGTGGTCTCCGGCCCACCAGTTGGCGACCACTGATCTAGGCAGAGCAACTGCTGCCGATCCTAAAGTCTGCCACTGCAGCTGACGTCCCCAGCCCCAAGACAGCAGACCAGACCTAACCCTGCCAGCCCTTTTGCTCGGACCTGCCTGGGCTCTGCTAAAGAAGAAAAAACCGAGTTGCCCAAACGTAGCTGCGGCATGCCATAAAGCCAACGTCAGGCTGTTTAATAGCAATCGCACTTAAGACTTATATACCACTTCACAGCTCTTTTACAGTCCTCTCTAAGCTGTTTACAAAGTCAGCCTCTTGCCCCCAACAATCCAGGTCCTCGTTTTTATCACCCTCAGAAGGACGGAAGGCTGAGTTAACATGGACCCCGTCAGGATCAAACTCCTGACAGTGGGCAGAGTTAGCCTGCAATACTGCATTCTAACAGGAAGAAGGGAAGGGAAGGGAAGGGAAGGGAAGGGAAGGGAAGGGA